TTAGCAATACTGCAGCAAATAAGCATCCGTGGTTGATGATTTGTTTGCCATCAGTAACTGTTTCATCCATTTTGCTATCGCCCATTTCTCATTTCCCTTCTTTTTGCTGTTTTAGCCCCAAACCTCCTCCCTTTCCCATGTCCAAATCTCGAAAAGAGCCCGCTTCGAATCTTAATATCATTGTTATAGGTGCCACTGGATGCGGGAAAACGTTGTTCACTCGAACATTGTGCGAAAGAGTGAAAGGCTATCAAGTTCAAGGGAGCTTTCGAGAATCCTCACCTCATGTTTTGCAAGGACCTTTGGAGCCTACGCAGGAGCTGTACAGTGTATCCATGCAATTGGAACAATCATCAAACCAAAGGTCTACATCCTTCACTATTATTGACACCCAAGGTCTTGTGAAAGGGGTCGCATTGGGCCACCAACTTGGGTTTCTGGCCAAATATATCGATCACCAACTCGAGCGGAGTTTGATTGAGGTAATATAAAAGAGATCGCCTTTTTGATTTTTGCTTTTCCTTCTCCTCTTTTACTTTTTCTTTTGTCCAATTAGGAATCCAAAGTTAAACGGAACACCAAGGCATACGATACTCGACTGCATGCATGTTTATACTTTATCGATACTCAATTGGGCGATGGGCTTTGTGATATGGATCGGCTTGCTATCGAATTGCTCAGCTCTCGAGTGAACGTCATTCCTATCATTGGCAAGGCGGACACCCTCTCGGCTCGCCAACTCGCTCGACAAAAGGCAACCTTTCGAAGACAGGTCTTTGATATCTACAAGATCCCGTTGTATGGCTTGGTCACCTTGGATGATGATGATGATGATGATGATGATGACGACGACGACGATTACAGTAATGACGACCAAGATACTGGAGGAACACCATTCACACCGACTGATATCAGCAATGGATTCTACCTGTCACCCTCCGATCCTACTCTCAGCGAAGACGAAAACAATCAAGATTCATCGACCTTAAAGTTTCTCACAGCGATGCTTCAACATGTTGCGGAAAAGGAGGCTAATGACGACGCCCGAGCAATGGTCGACTATCTGAAGAACATGCCTCTTGTGGTCATTGGTTATGAAGAAGACGAAACTACAGGCCAACCTCTTGTTATCATGGCGGATGGAATGGATTCAGGCACTGGCAGTAATATGGCGGATGGGACGATATTGGGAAGAATCTATCCTTGGGCGGTGGTAGACTGCTGTGATCCGGCTCACTGCGATCTGGAGCGACTTGTTGACCTGTTATTCTCTAGTCATGGTGAAATGTTGCGGCTCGACACATTGAAACGATTTTACGAACAGTATAGAATAGACCAATTGTTGTCTCAGCGTGTGGAAGATATGGTCACCGTCAAGTCTAAAGCAAACCAACAGCAACCTATCCTCTGATCGTGATCTCTTCCTTTTCCTTAGTCTATAGTCATTCGTTTTTATAGATTACTATT